TGCTGGAGCCGCGCCTGGAGGAGCAGCGACGGGCCGAGGCCGCGTGCCGCCGCATCCAGGTGCGGCCGCCCCCGGCGCCGGAAAGGGGCCCGGGTGGCCCTGCCCTGGGTTGGGCTGGGGAGCGGGTTCCTCCTCGGTTGCATCTCAAAAAGTTTTTTGAGGGGTTTCCCCGTCATGGGATGGGCCCCCAAAGAGTCCATGGCTTGGGCCACACCTCGAAGAGGGTCTGTGTGGGAGGCATCTTCTGTCCTGGTACAGCCCAAAGGGGCCTCAGAGGAGGGGTCCATGCCCTGCTCTGCCCCCTCTAGAGCATCTTGGAGGGCCCCCAGCCCTGGGCTGCACCTTGTAGAGGACCCTGCAGGGTTGTTCCTGGCCCTGGAGTGGAGTCCCTGGCTCTGAGTACAGTCCTTGGGCGTGCGCCGTTCTGTGYGAGCCCTCACACACCTCTCAGGCATCTCCTTTGAGGAGGGCTTCTCCATTGCCAGGGAGCCCTGAAAGGGAGCAAGCAATGGGCAATGTCCTCACTGTGGGCAAAACCACCCAAAGGGGACAAAGATGCTGCCGCTCCACGGGCAAGACCTCGTCAGGCACCTGCCACCCCGACAGGGATCCCTCACAGCCCCTGAGCATGTTCCTTGGATGTGTCGCCATTGGGATGGAGTGACACCACTTGCTTTAGTGCTTTTGCCCCCCCAGTCTCTTTAATKCCTTTGGTTTGTTTTCCCCTGTCTCATTCCTCCCCCAATGCCTTCACACCTCACTGAGTCACTCTCCTTCTAACAAACCAACTGTCATGTTCAGCTGCTGCAGGAGCTTGGGGCCTTGCTTTTCCATCTGTTGATGCTCTTAATTGGATCTTTTAAATGTTATTTTGCAGAATTATTTATAGAGGAGGGGAGAAGTGTTTATTTTTGTACATTAGTGTTAGAGGAGAAAAGTGTTTATTTTTATATTTGTACACTGTTTATTTTTTAGATCGGCAAATGATTCCCTCTTCCCAGCCCTCTTCTTTCCAGTATCCTGGGATAGGGCACTTTTGGTAAAGACAGCCCGTAGGGGATAATTTGCTTCTGACCTAGGATATATTGCCAGCAAAATATTTTGGGTGTAGTTACAGGGATTTGAGCCTTAACATTTAAGACTTTGTTGTTAGTTTTCAGCAAGGAGAAACCTCCTAAGGCAGCTCTAACCTGTGTTTGCAGAAGTCAGAAGCAAATGGGTGTTTAAATCCATCCTGCTCCCTCTTTGTAAGGGATAAATTGGGAGCTCTGCTCCGTGGGCTTAGCAAGCATGGAGGTTTCACAGCTATCACCTTGCTGCAGAATCAGTTTCCACCAGAAAAAAAAGTGTCGTTAGCTATTTTAACTTAGTCAAGCATAGCATTAGCCCCTCTCAGAAAATGTCACTGCATCTCTACAAGGGTTTTGTCAGCAAGTGAACCCTCAATGGACTCTATGCCCATCAGCCTTTTCTGGTGTAGAGCAGCTTGTAATCTATGTGTTGTACGTCATGTCATTGCCAGGCTTAATGTTCCTGCAGAATCTCAGGCTACTCGGATTAAGGGTCTTATTAAATGCTCTCTTTGTGCTGTAATGCTGAGGATCCCTTTCTGCAATGGCTTTAATGTGACTGAAGTGCAGGCTGTTGCTGCAAGAAGCAGCTCTGTCCCTGGCTGCACATTACCATCTTCAGTCCTGCTTCCGTGGCTGCAAAGATCAGTTTTCAGCTAAATAATTTCCTTGCCTGACTAACGGTGCAGCCACATGGGTGCTAATACTGGTTCCTAAAAGAGGTAGGGATGTCTAGGCAGGAAGATAACGACYAGGAAGATAACGACCAGAAATTTGTCACCATGCTGGATTGAACCACATGCTCATTTGGAATCTCCATGTTGGAGACCAGTTCACTGTAGATAACATAGCTGGGTGCAGTATRAGGACTTCATTTTTCTCCAGACAGCTGTTGGACAGGTGTAGTGTGTGATTCCGTAATGCTGCATAATGCTGAAAAAAAAAAGGTTCCCTTCATCTTAAAGTATTGAATGCTCTATTTTTTCTTGCCTTTTTTGCTTCCATTCAGACAGTTTTTGTCAGAAAGAACAAGCCACTGAGAGATCCGCTGAGCTCTTTCCACTGGCAGGGCTTCAAGCTAGAAGACTACCTTATTGGTCAACCCCTCGGGAAGGGCTGCAGTGCCGCCGTGTATGAAGCAGCTCTTCCTTTGCCCTCTGATGGCCAARAGAGCATGAAGGGAAACCGTCCCGCAGGGAAAGGGCCAACTGCACAGCAGGATCACAGCTCAGCTTTCTACAGTGCAGAAGAGGAGCCTGAGCCCAAACACAAACAAAAAGTGGCTTTTCCACTAGCCATCAAGATGATGTGGAATATYTCGGTAAGGAGATGGTTCTTCTCTGCTTGTCTAACGCTTGGAAAGGCTGGGTGAAATACTTAACACTTAAGCAGTGAAAGAAATTTCAGAGTTCAGGGCTTTCAAATCCGTGTCGYGTGTGACTGTTGTTGCAGGCTGGTTCTTCAAGCTCGGCCATCCTCCATGCCATGAGGGCGGAGCTCGTTCCAGCCACAGCGGTTGCCTTGGCTGGAGAGTACGGAGCTGTCTCTTGCCGCAGGTATCATAACAGTGAGAGTGCAGCGATGCCCAGGGAATTTCTCCAGCAACTCATTTTGCGGCATATTTTTACTGTAAAGATTTCTGTAATAATTCTTGGAAAAAAAATTGGGATTATTAATAGGTAGATGCAGGAGCTTCTATATCAGCAGGTGAAAATGCTATTTTTGTTAAAAGATGTGAGGAGCCACTTCTGACATACTTTAAATATATAATATGCCTTTTAATTACTAAAATATATGTATATATGTATGCTTATAATCTGTAATAATTAGAATATAACAAAAAGTTATGAAATTTGGCCTAACATTTTGCTTTACAAGGGCTGCAGAGACAGAGATGGAAGTTCTGTTCTAGTGCAGGTCACTGCGTGCATGAAACTAACAAAAAGTGATGAGGAAGAAAATGGGAAATGCTTTAGTTTTCACACTTGCCCAAGTGAGAAGTAAGCAAAGAGCAATTTTGTGAAAAATGGCATTGAAACTGAAATTATCTGCAATTTTGAAGTTACCTTTTTTTTTCTAAAATGCCAAAATGCCTTTTTTTAATTATTTGAAACAATAGAGTCCACAGTGCAGATTGTCTGATTTGTCTGATTTCAATTTCAAATACCTCTCAGCTGCTAATACAAATGAATAATAAACACTTTGATATGTTGCTACCCTGAGAATGCAACAAACAGATATTTGGCAGTCAAGAGATAACAGTGGTTTTGCAGATATGTGTAGCTAATTTGCCTTCATTTTTTTGTCAACACTTCCTGCTTATGCCATCTACCAGAAGGTTTAAATTGATAAGCATAGTGTGAATTTGACCTTTGTTTTATGTCCAAGAGGGCAATTGGTTTGTTTTTCTTTAATGTTGCAGTTCTTTTCTGTGACCAGCTGTGCTTGTAATAGGTATGGTGGTGCATAAAGGCTAGTAGTGTTTGTGTAAAATTATAGCTGCTTTTTGAGCATAATCATTCCCAGCAAAGTTCAGTTTGTGACTCAGGTAAAGCACAAGTACTTCCTGCTCAGACATTGTATTCTGGAAAATCCAGTTACGCTGCAACCCTAGAAAGTGCTGTTAAAGTCATGGTGCGAGTACCATCTGCTGGTATAATAGCAGACAGCACTGTGGCGATGGCAACAGCTCCCTTTTTTCTGCAGGAAGATTCGCGAGACATTTTTAATTCTGAACAAGATGCTGGACTGGGTGATAGTTAGGAAATTGGGAATGACCACATTGCTATCAGCGTTTCTTATAATCTGACCGTTAGCAGGGTTGGGGGTGTTTGAATTTCATTGTAACGGCTCATCTTTTAAACTGCTGTGTGTAGTAAGGCTTTCACCTCAGAATAAATGCACTTGAAAGTGACCTTGGGACCTTGTAGTGGGAGGACATGTATTAATGAGCAGTGAATTCAGAAATAAGGGATGTGCCTGTGATGAGTCGAAACTGAATGGTAGATTGATGGAATGTGTGCTATCAATGTTTTGTCACAGAAATCCCATCTTTGGGAGGAAGAAGTTGCAGCCTCATCCAAATATAATCCAGGTGATCCGAGCCTTCACATCCTCTGTCCCTTTGCTGCCTGGAGCCCTCACAGACTATCCTGATGTTCTGCCCTTAAGCTTAAATCCCAGAGGGATTGGTCACAATCGCACGCTCTTTCTGGTGATGAAAAAGTAGGTGGAGAGAAGCTTGTTACCTTAATTCAGACTTTTTGTGAGACTGACTGACCCGTGGGGCTGTGTATTCTGTTCTATCTGCTCTATCTGGGTCCTTGTAAAGAACTGAACTTGTCTGCAGTTCTGTGAACTTTGTCCCTGTCACCTTTTTTTTTTTTTTTTTTTTAAATATGTGACTAGAGAGAATAGAATCAGCAATGAGGGCTCAGTATCTCTGGCTTTCTCCATTTGTTTTTGGTTTTGAAAGAAAGGGGTGGTGGAATCGATGCACAACCCCCTTCTCTTCCCACCCTTTTTTTCCCCACCTGCATCTGCAGGAGTTTTATTTGCGGAATATATTCTTTCCCCTGCTTCAGATCTTCTCATTTTGCTTATATGGTCTGTATTAGTAATCTCTCCCCTCTTCCACACAAAATGCAAAACCTGTACATAAAAACCTGTAAGAATTATCTCAAAGTTCAGAAAGAATTTGGTACATATAAATGTACTGCATGCCCAGCTAGACACCGTTAAGTTTAATCTGTAAGCAATAACCTTTGGGTTGCTAATCTGGATATTTTCCTTGTTCTGACTAGTTACCCGTGCACTCTGCGCCAGTACCTGTGGGAGAACCTTCCGGATGCTCGTCTCGCCACAATGATGATTCTACAGCTGCTGGAAGGGGTAGACCATCTTGTTCGACATGGAATAGCCCACAGAGACTTGAAGTCTGACAACATCCTTGTTGAATTTGATTCTGGTAGGTAGATTGCTAAGTGTTTATAGCAAAGAGTAGGGAGTTGATAAGTTAAGCTTGGAAATCATGCGGTCAGGTAGATATTTGGGGAACTCTTATCCAGGTAGACATTTTGAAAAACAAGCATCAAACCCTTTCAGGAATCTCCGATTGGATTTTCAGCTTTTTTTGTCTTTGTGGCACTTTGAAAATCATTTATCTTGTCTATGCTTCAGATTTGACATCATTAAAATAGACTTGAAAGGACTGTTGAATCCAGGCTTTTGGCTTTGTCCTCTCTCACTGGCCCAATAACAGTTCTTCAAATCCCACCTCCCAGTCAGGTTAATAGTGCTGCACCTTCAGATCATTAAATATCAGTTGATGGGAGACAGAACCGACAGAACATTAAAATCAGAAGCATTTTCATCTTCTTGTTCTCCTGTCAGCCCCTTTTACTGAGATTTTAAGTACCTGAGCTCTTTTTTTTTGGCATGACTGAGATTCATATGGACAGGAAACAATAGCAAGCTGCCAGATCTGTGTAATTAAAGGTCTTGGTACAGCAGACCTGGAATATTTTCAGAGATTCTTTTCTTGAAGGAAAAACTTCTCTGAGGCTATGTTGAATGCAGTTAAGAATGACTTAAACTTTTTTTTTGCAGTATTGTTCTGGAAAAGAATGATTCTGTTTTGCAATGTTTGACTTGTCTTCAGCACAAGAGCTATTAACTAGTGCAAATATTTTTCAGCTTGCCTTTTTTATAGATAAAACCAAAAAATGTAAAAGATTCCCCCATTCCCCTTCTTCCGTACCTTATGAATCTTCATTTCTCTGGTAATAGCAGAATTTTGTCAGACTCATGCTCCATGGGGAGAAATAATGTTTTCTAAAGAGGTACTAGAAGAACAGCTGTTCTGTTTGTTGTTGTTGTGGTTGTTAAGAAAAGTGATTTTTCACCTAGGAGTTTGGAGGGGAAGCAGGAAAACAGTCTGTGGTTATGCTGATTCCCAAGGAGATTGAAATTGTTCCTGAAGACCATCCTTGATGTTGATGTGACACAGTATCTGGTATGACCAGATATTCCTGACCTGATTGCTAACTCTGCTAACCCTGTGTCATTTGCAGACGGCCATCCTTGGCTGGTGATTACCGACTTTGGTTGCTGTTTGGTAGATGAGAATAATGATTTGAGACTGCCTTTCACCAGCAATTCAATGACCAGAGGTGGCAACGGCTGTCTCATGGCACCGGAGGTAAATCCACCTATAGTAACGACTCATTACTCTATATACCTGCTGGAAGCTTCTGCGATTGCATCAATCATTGTCTAACCATTCTTGTTTTTTGATATATTTGTTCATGCCTGTAATTGGTTATTGTTTAACTATTCCCAGTCTACAGTTCATCACAGAGGGTCAATGCCCATAAAGCAGGGCAGGAGGTGCATGTTCTGATTTGAGTTACAGTGTCTCTGCGTTAATAAATACACAAAACCAAAAGTCTTTGGAACTCTGCTGAGTAAACACTAAAAATGAAACATTATCTGTTGAAAGGCAGAGTTGAGCTTACGAGGAAAAAGTTTGTTCCTTATTCTATTCTCAGGCGGTGTTTTCCGTAGATGTTAAGGGAGTTTGTGCAGGAGTCCTTGTGCTGCAACACTGCTTGTTTTTTAAACGATAGACGACACCAGTAAGAAATATTTACACCTGAGATTTAGATGAAATAGATTCAGTTTCTGCTGAGTTGACCCATACTAAATTATTTTAATAAAAGTGCCGACCTAGACCTGTTCCTTCCAACATCCCAATCTCTGTGGACTTTTTGTTGCAGGTGATCACAGCATCATCTGGGCCCGGCATGGTGATTGACTACAGCAAAGCTGACGTGTGGGCTGTTGGAACAATTGCCTATGAAATCCTTGGCCTAATTAATCCTTTCTACGGCTATGAAGATTCAACTCTGGAAAGCAGAAGTTACCATGAGGACCAGCTGCCAAAACTGCCTGATCACGTGCCCCGTGAGGTGCAGCAAGTGATAAAAATGTTACTTCAGAGGGATCCCAGCAAGGTGAGAGGCTCTGTCTTTTAGAGCATTGGTTGTAGATTGCATTGCCCTGCAGGGCTCCAGGTGCACTATTGACAAGCCACTATGCACTCTAGGTAACAAGTGAAGTCAAACATAGATCTTTGAGGTAGTGTCACATGTCCCGTGGTTGCTGGATACTTTGCAGATTTCAGTAGTCAAAAGGAGTCAGTGAGCAGATGCTGAATTGGCAGCTAAATGCAGTAGCCTGATCATAACTGTCAGAGTTTTTCTGTTCACAGCAACTGTACGGTGCCCCAGAGGAGGCCCAGGTGCCTCTTGGCAGTATGTATCCTACATGCTGGTAACTTAGAGTGCAGGGAGATCAACTAATTTTCCCTTCATCTTTTTTTTTTTTTTTTTTTTTTAGAGAATATCTGCTCGAGTTGCTGCTAACGTGCTTCACTTAAGCCTCTGGGGTGAAAGCGTTCTATTCTCTGAGACCCTGACACTGGACCAGATGATTGCCTGGCTTCTCTGCCAGTCTGCGGCCACTTTGCTCATGGATGGACTGGTGGATAAAAGCAGAGTAGAAACAAAAATGAAGATGTGCTTCCTGGCAAACCTTGAATATGAGGATCTCTGGGCCGCAGTGTTCTTGTTGCTTTGCTGGAGAAACCAGTCTGGGTGAAGGGGGCAATTTGAGCCATGACCATGCAGTAGATAAATGTAGCTTCCTCAATACACATAGGAATATCTCTTTTCTGTTTGCTTGGAATCCTTAAATACTTTAGAGGGAAAAAAAACCTGCAGGCTTGTGTGTGTGTTGTGTAAGAGGTCTAGTTGACCTATAGCACATGTTATTCCACACTTTTTTTTTTCTCTTCCTGTTAGAAGAAGTGTGGCTAAGAAATGTTAGAAGAAAGACTGTAGCTTTGGTGAGGGCTTGCAGGACTTGCAGGTGTCTCAGAGTAGGTGGTTGGCTTTGTTCACAGGTGAGAATCCAGAGTTAACCTCTGTGTGGTGTATTGAATGAAGCAATTTTCTTTTGGAAGAGCATGTGTGTAGGAAGAGGAATTGCTTTAGCTGCTCTTTATACAGAAGCATCACAAACAAGACGCAGAGAAAGCTGAGCTGTCAAAAGTAGGGCAGTCCCTTTCCATAGGGACATCCTTATGAACCCTCCTCTTGTGAAGATTGTGTTCCTCTGCAACCACAAAATATCTTGCACTAATACGGCAGTCCAAAGGCCACTTTGGTGCAAGGCTGAGGCGTAAGGTCAAGAGATAGCTGGGAGACCAGTTTAAAAAAATAACCATCATATTAACGAAAATACTATATTTCCATAATTGCTGGTGTTCAGAAGAACTTGGGGAGAAAGCTGGTTTTACTTGTTGCACAATAAATTGGAGATCATGTGCTGCTACTGAGTGGATTTTCTACCTCTTGTTCATCTCAGTTCATCGTATTCAGATTTTAAGCCTGAATGTTGAAGTTCAAGTGATACAAAACTACCCACCAAGGAATGGTCCCAATTTACTTTCCCATTGCCACACCTGAGATGTGCTGCAGCTGGATGTTGTAGTAGCAGACAAGAAGCAGCTGAAAGCTGCAGAGTTGAAAGTTGGGCCGCCTCAGGAGCACGCAGCCTTTTGAAGAGGTGTATTTAATGCAAAAACAACTTGGGTCCAATAGGTTTTCCAACATGAGACTCAGGGTCTCGAGAGGACTGTTGTTAACACAAACCAAGCTTTGGATTTCACTGTTCAGCGTGCATCTGCCTTAACTCCACACCCTGGAAACATCTTTACCCATCGCAAGTATTTCATCTAGTGAGACTTGAAAATAGTCTGAAATACCCATCCCCCTGCAGCACCCTGTGTTTTAAAATTCTTGTTAGTATTTCTCATTGATCATCTTTTTTTTTTTTTTTTTTTTTTT